CACAGCTCACCTGGGACTCAGACAAGAAGAACTCAGGTGCCACAGTCCAGTCCTTGGTGTCTGTCTGCTCAGGAGAGGCTAGGATCTGGTGAGCAGGCACAGCTGTGGGTGGAAGAGTCAGAGGAAATTTCTCTACCTTCTGCCTTTGATTATTCTAGGCTCATTTCTAAACTTGTAGAAGATTCTGATTCTTTCAGTAGAGACAAGACACCTTACAAGCGTGTGTGGTGCCCAGCAGTGGCCGCCTCATTATAAATAAAACCAAGTATCTACCAGTCTCTAAAATAGGTTCCCCAGTTTTCATGAGCAAAATAAATGAAAGGAAAAACTCTGTTATTTCCCTCTTATGACATAAATTGAAAATGAAATACTCAGGGAATTCAGGGTACATAGGAGATGCTGTGTTTTTTTTTCCATTTATTACTCTTTTCCTGGTATATATATATAGTGTTCACATTCTGTCACTAACAGCCCATTTGTGTTCCCAATTCCTTCTGTATAAATTCAGGATAAGGTGGGTCCAACTCTTTCCACTTCCCCAAAAAACAGAGTTCTTGTTGTTATTACCAGGATTCTGTGCTTTGGATATTTCTGTACCTTAGGCCAACCTGAACCTTCATCCACACCTGGTATATTCTACCACCACCTGATAGGCACTATAACTGCTAATGTGGTAGCATAAGTAGACCCAAAGGGCAGGCCAGAAAATGCTAACAATATTCTGGCTTAACAAATCACTATCACAGCTCCCAGGAGAAGGAAAATTACATGAAGCTCCTTACCCCTCTCACATATGGGCTCAGTTTCTTTGTGAGTATTTCTGCTCAGTGGTTCCTGTAGACCCTGGTGTGTATTCCAAAATTCTTTATCCTGGGACATGCCCAGTGGCTGCGACTCTGCTGGCTTCAGCTTGAAGCCTGGGGCCTCTGCTGTTTCTCCCAAGAACACTGCTTCCTCTCCCAGCTCATGGACTGCAACCTAGAAATAATCCCCATCCTTGTTACTAGAGCATTCATGTTTGTTTGGGGGTTGGTGGTAGAGGGAGGAAAAAGCAGAGTATAGACTGTAGGAGGTGGGAGACAATAAAGGAAATTACAAAAAGACTTAAAGAGATACTGGGCCACCAATTTTCTACAAAGAGCTAGCCACAAAATCTGGGAAAACTGGAATAGAAGGAAAAAAGCTGTGGCTACTGCCAGCACCCCAAGACAGCAGCCCACAACCCTCTGCATACAGCCCAGCTCAGACCACTAGCAGGGTTACACCAGCCACCTGTTCTCATGCTGCCTTGACAGGCTTTCTCTCCCAACTTAGACCCCTGCCTCGGTGGTTTCCTGTCTTCCAGTTTTCTCAAAAGATTAAAGAATTGAATTAAAAAGTTGTCCTGTCAACCAGATTTTCCATATGGATGAAATGGAGAAAAAAGGAAGAGGAAAGAATCATGGCTCCAACCTCTCTCCAAATGATTTTGACACAAAACATGTGCCCCCCCCGGCTGGTATGCACAGCAGGTCTGAAGCCAGCTGGTATGCTGCCACCTGCCCAGGGGCATACCCCAGATCCCCGCTCAGCAGCAGAGCCAGGGAACCACCATGAAGGGAGGGCAGTGGAGGCTCCGGTCCATGGTACAGAGGACACTACTCCTCAGCTGCTGTTGGGATTTCCAAATCTCTTTCCCTGTTTTCTTTCTATGTTTTCTCTTCCTTGGCAATCTTCCCCTAGTCATGTAGCTTCTCCTTTTCTTTACTATCTTCACTCTCTTTGGTCTCCAGGAATTTCTCCTTTTTTAGCTTGTCCCTTCCTCTCCAACTCCTTATTCCCTTTTGTTTGTTTCTAAGAACTCAATACCTATCTCCCTGGCAAGGCCAGACTAGGATCATGACCCTCAATACATCTCGGCTCCAGAGGACAAAAAACAACTCTTTCCCTAAGGCCAGAGAAGTCTGCCAAGATCTCTGAAACCAGTGGACTGACTATTGCTGCAGGTCTGTGCTTTCAGGATCTGCCTTAGATGTCCTAAAGGAACAATACAACAGTGACCTAATCCATCTTATTTCTCAAATTAACCACCCCAACCCCACTATCTCCACCTTCACCCCATTTTACCCAGGAATCTTTCTTCTCACCCCATTCATTTGACCAGATTCCCTCTGCAAGTATTCTACCAGGACCACAGCCTCCTCGACGCTCTGTAGATGGTGCTTCTTTATCTGGGTCTGGGTGTCCCTGGGCAGAATGGTCAGGAACTGCTCTAACACCAGCAGGTCCAAGATCTGCTCTTTTGAATGACTCTCAGGACTCAGCCACTGATGGTATAATTCCTGCAGATGGTCAACAGCCTCAAGGGGTACAGCTGCTTCATGATACAGGAAGCTTTGGAAGTGTTGGTGAGACCTCTCAGGACTGAGGCGGTCTGTTTGTGGGACACATTTCTTGTGCTGACTGGAGCTCTCTGTCACAGGTTTCTTGGTCTCCCAGATCCCTGATCTAAGGATTCAAGTACTCACCCACCTTCAGATCTACTGTCATCATTCTGCTCTAGGAACAATTTGGTTCCAATGATGGACACTCCACCAGCACCACCTTTGACAACTGAGGCCCAGTCTCCTCTGCAAGAAAATCAGTGGAAGGGTCTTCTTCCTAAAGCATTAAAGCGAGAAAAAAAGTGCATGTCAATAAGAAAGTCACATGAACCTTACTACGTGCTACTTATTGTGAGAGAAAAATGAACTTTACAAATCAACTGCCAGGCCCTTGTTTCTCTCTTTCTTCATTTTATTTTTGTTTCTCTCTTTTTCTTTCTACTACTCAACAGAATACATATAGCACAGCTCATTGAATAAAAATGCCAATAAATGACTTTGTCTTTAAAAAAAATCACAAAAGTTTGGTGGGTGAGAAAATTAGTAAATATTAGTACCTACTGGCTGTAAAGTATTTGGGATTTATTCAAAGAGTTAATCCTATTCCATCCTCTCCATGTCAAGGTAAGATTAGGAGAATATTCTGACCTCTTGACTTTGAACATAGCATCCTACTCTTCTATCTTTAGTAAGGGGTACAAGTTCCATGACTCTCCATCCTCTTCGGAAGATAGAAACGTTCGCTTCTTGGAACACAGCAGGTCCTCCTTTCCAATGCATGAATAGGTGCAGGGGAGCGGAAAACAGTGAGACCAGAGTAGAAGGAAAGTAATTAGGGAAAATGGAGCCTTATTCTCAAAATGCATGCCCCAACTGAGTAATTAGCTACTCAGCATTCATCTGGCATTTCTCTGCAAGACGTATAAAGAACACTAGGCAGAAGATTTATATTTGTGTTTTAAATTTCTCTTTACTTGACTTAGGAAAAATTACAGCTGCCCTTTGTTCACAAAATGTTTGTCCAAATGTCAAGTCGCAAAAAAAGGAGAGAATGGAAATTGGTGGCGATTAAACTCTGCTGACTACGTTTCTTCAAGGGTCACTTAGTCCCCTAAGCGAGCCTCAGGAGAACCTCGTGAGCTTTACTTTCCCTGAGGTGATCCAACAGAAATGGCATCGAATTCTGTCCAGGATGCCACGGTACTCCCAGATGGCCGGCTCCTCTTTGCCCACCCGGCTTTGGAGGTACGGGCACACTTCCCGGGCTTTTTCATTAGCAGACGCTGACCTGAGGCTGGGCTGCCCAGCTCTCCTGTGGTAGCAACAACCAGCAAAGCAAACGCCGGCGGAGGCGGGAAAGTGGACACTATTGCCCACCCCTGCCTCTGGGCCAACGACGCGCGCGCCCGCGAGCACAGTACCGGGCGGGGTCTAAGGGCGCGCGGCCCGGGCGCTGTCTGCGCAAAGCTGGGAAAGAGCGGCCTCAGGAGGCTGACGCCGGTCTCGCCCGGAATAGTGTGGCTCAGCACCCGCCCGCCCTACAGCGACCCTGGGTTGCGGCCAGAGTTTCTCGGAGGCTCCGGAGCCGAAGGGGAAACCGCTTCTCCGTTACCTCAGACGGCTTGGCTTTGTGGAGACCGCTTCCACTTCCTTGGGTTCAAGCGCAAGTCTCCGCCCCTCCAGCCGCCGCTGTAAGGAGGACACTGCCCGCGCCAGTCAGGCGGGCCCAGCGAGGGTCTGGGGTCGGGGGCGCAGGACCGGAACCTCACAGGTCGGCCTGGCCCGGCTAAGACTGGCCAAAAATCTTCCACCGCCGCGGTCCGCTCCCTCTGCACGGGTGACGGGATCTCCAACCGGAAGGAGAGGTGACGTACTTCCGGGAAGGGCCTCGCTCAGCCCCTCGCTTGCAGACTGCCACAGTCCGGGTTCAACCGGCGGAGGAAGTATTCGTGTCCCTCTATCTCCAGGCCCGCGGAGCGCTTTCCGGCCGTTAGGTCCTGCGTGGCCGCGGGTGGCCGTGCCTTGTAACCGGGAGTCCAGCTCCTGCCAGGGTTGGAGCCGTACCCCCAGACAATTCTCCCACCCTCGGGCAGTAAAACAGCCAGTTATTTTATCAGCAAAATGAGTTTATTAGCGAATAGAGAGTTGCAATTTAGAACATGAAAACTCTGGCAATCATAAGCAGTCTGGAGAACAAAGGCAAAGAATGGTACTTTTACAGAGAGGACCAGGAGTTGCAAGGGGATGTTATAAGAGTCCCCTGGGGGAAAACTGGCAGTTTTAAATGGAGTGGTTTTTCATTGGCTGAATCGTTCCAGTCTTTGATTGGCTCGGCTGTTGTTGGGCAAGGAGAAATTCTTCCTCCTTCTGGATAGTAAAGTAGTAACTTTCCTTTGGATAGTAAAGTAGTAACCTTCCTCTTGGCAAAGTACTTCTCTTTCTCTTTCTAACACAATTGGTGTCTACTGGTAGGGCCTGAGATCTTCCCCTCTGAACTCCTAATTCCATTTTATATGAAGTTATTCTTTATAATTTTCACAAAGGCAGTTTTGTTCTGGTCACGGTTAACACCCCCTGAGGGGTTTGTACCCATATCTGGGCCTGGCATGCTCACAATGATTCTGGTTTTTTCTTTTCCTTGTTAGATAGTTTATAACCTGTGAAATAAGTTCCATTTATAGTTCTCATCAGAGAATTGAGAGCTTGCTTCCTTGCCAGGAAGAGAGTTGCTCAGGGTCACATAATTTACCAGCAGCAGGTCCTTCAGTGGAATTCAGGTCCCCTTTGTGCTATCTTCTGATTTTCCTACCACTGCGTGCTCCCTGGAAGATGGGATCCTTCTTTTCATTTGTATGTCCTGCAGCGTTTGGCAGAGTTGCCTGGCTAAGACTGGCATTCCATAAATATTTACTGAATCATATTTAGGAGAACCTGAGTATTTGCCGTTGTCAGTGTTCTTCCAGTGGTCAGTGTTTTCACAGTGTCAGCTGGTACTAGTCAAGGGATTATTCATTAAGTCTACTACGTGTAGTCAGTGTTCCAGAGTCAACAGGACAACATCTTTGATTCAAGGAATCTGGCAAAAAGACTGAGGCAGTTTCACAAATATCAGTAACACAACGTAGCAAAGGGTAACACATAAGCTGTGGGAATTCTAAGGAAATGAAAGTTGATTTGGAGTTGGGAAAAACTTATACAAGATCTTGAGGGATTTTCCCACAGCAGAGAGTGGGGCCACATTCCAGGCAGAAGAAAAGGTAAGAGCAGAGCCTTGAAAGAGATAAGCATTTGAGAAAATCTGTAGTACTTTTTAAATTAAATGTTATTGAGCTACATTTAGAGAAAGAGTTAAAGTTAGAAAATAAGTTCTTGTGAATCTATTATGGAGTACTTTGGGAATTAAGAGACTGCCTTTAAGAAAATAAATAAAATAATAAAGAACATCATTTGAGGGTTTTTGAAGGAGCTTCTTTCCACAGCAATTCATCTGGAGCTAAGTTTAAGGTAGGAATGAAAATGGAACCACTAACAAGTCATTATGCTATTTTTTAAGTAGACTGGTGTTACACTCCTTTGAGACATATATTTTGATCCTTTTTGAGTGAGAGAAAAGGGTTAAACAGATGTGACAATAATAATCATCTGCCTATGTCACTTGAATGTATTTCAAAGAAGGTTCATTTCCTCAGAATCCCAGGTTGGGACTTAGTTTTTTCAAAAGCAACTACTATTTCCAGTCTCTCAGAACTAGTGGACAGTAATGATTTTAGGTTTGAGATCCTCATCTGCAATAATCCCAGCAGGACATGATGGTGGCTCAGAGTGGACTAGGGGGGTGATGGCAAGAGGTGGTGTGCCCTTCAGAGCATCACCCTCAGAACCTGCACCAGTCAGGCACCACCACGCAGACCTCATCCCCCAAGGCTCTCAGTCTCAGCTCTGCAGGACCACTCTTTCAGGCTTCCAGGTTCAAATAAATCTAACTTTCCCCTATGATCTCCCTACTCCTTATGTGGTCGCTTCAGTTACCTTCTCTGGGACCTCAGTGTCTACATCCCATTGATAAATCAACCCTGCACTAACCACTTGAGAATAAATTTGTAGATTTATTGTAGGTTGTATAAACAGCAACACTCTCAAGTATATCAATTTCTTCTAATATGTAACTTAGACTCCTGGTTTGATACAGACCAAACATTAAAAAGCCAGTTTGGGGGGAGGGTAAAGCTCAAGTGGTAGAGCACATGCTTAGTATACAGTAGGTCCTGGGTTCAATTCCCAGTACCTCCTTTAAAAATAAATAAGTAAACCTAATTATCCCCCACCAAATAAAAAAAAATTTTTTAAGCCCGTTTTTCCCTGTAGGTTAAATACTAGGGCTCTCTATATAGTTTCTCTACCTCCATTCCTTACTGAAACATTTTATCTAACTGATACAATTTTTCAGTTAACACTAATCCTTTTTCCCAAGGATTCCTAAGCACTTCCAATAGATTGCAATAAATATTCTCACAACCCTGGGGGAGGAGAGAGAGAGAAATGAGGAGTTTGGGATTAACAGATATACACTGCTATATACAAAACAAATAACAAAGACCTACTGAATAGCACAGGGATCTATATTCAATATCTTGTAATAATCTATAATGGAAAGGAATCTGAAAAAGAATATATATATATATAAAAAACATATATAGAAGAAGTATGTGTGTGTATGTGTGTATATATATATATATATATATATATATATAGAACTGAATCACTCTGCTGTACACCTGAAATTAGCACAACATTGTAATTAACTATACTTCAATTAAAATAATGGTTAAAAAATAGAATGGGGAAAAAAGAAAATAAGTATGTATAAACTGTTAACAATGGATACTGTGAAGTGAATTGCTCCTGTGATGATATAAGCAAATCTAAAATTTCTTCATGCTAATATAATCATTATCATGACAGATTAAAAAAATACATTCCCACAATCAAAAGAAGTAGGGCAAAGCCTGCAGAATGTTAATAACCCTTTTTACACTTCTATTTTGGTTTCTCAGCCTAAGGTGGCAGATAAGTGGTCACATCCAAAACTACAGCTGGGCCCCTCACGCTTCCTACCCCACTTCCTTTCCTCTTGCCACCTCTTGTCTGCTCCTCCTGTGAGGGACTGCCTTACCAGTCAGTTTGGGAACAGCCCTGGACTTCCGGGATGCTGGGCTAGTCTGTGCCATTTCATCACTGACTTCACCAGGGCCAAATCCTTGCTTTCACCGTTATGAGCTCCAGCCTCCTCAAAGTCCTGCTGCTCATCCTCAGTGGCTTCTGGGTAGAGACAAAGAGAAGGACTGAGCAGTTTCACATGTGCAGGTCACAGGATTCTAGCAAATAACTGCCTGTAGTATGGTAGTTTTGGGTGGTAGCATTGCAGTCCTGTCTTACAGCAGGCATTTCAACATCCAGAAGATTCTCATTTACAGAACTGGCTCAGGTCATTATAACATGCAGAGGAGAAAGCTTAAATTCTACGGGGACAATATCTTCCTTCCTTTACTCATAGCAGCCGAGACCTACTGAAAGCTCAGTGAGTGATGAGTGACCCACCTCTCTCTCTTCCTACCCTTCCTTCAAAGGTGAAACAAAATCTATTCTCTAATAAAAGTTGGCATGGACACCAATCAGAAAAACAAAGAAGTACTTAAGAAGCAGCAGCTACATCAAGTTTCTCCATCTTGTTGCAGCTGCCTGTCCCTTCACCCAGACCCTCTCCAACCTGATCTCCATTTTCTCTTTCCATACTCCTCTTCTCACCATTGCCTTCTTACCATTGCCTTCATTCTCAGTCCAAATGCTGCACCAGTCATTGCATTCTCAAAGCTTCCTAGATGACACACCCTCATCCAGGCTTGGATCTCCCTGTGAAGGATGGTTAGGAATTGCTTCAGCTCCAGGATCTTCTTGAATGTAGTTTGGGCTGCAACCATCACAAGCAGAGCTCCAAGAGTTGGCTGAGGGCCTTGTGAGTGAGGCCCAGCAGTTGCTGATAACAGGTGAGTCTGAAGATCTGGTGGGAGATCTCCAACTGGCCAATGCCTCTGAGAGGTCAGGATCTGCCATCAGCCACCTGAGAGACTGTGAGCAATAAAGAGGAATTCAATTCCAACTGAGGCTGATGTGAGGCTTCAAATTCAGTTCCTACAATGTGGAGAATCACCTCCAGGTACGCCCCTCTGATAAAAACTTCACTCTGGAAAGAGAAAGAGGTCAGTGTGACAGTTCATTTCTACGTCATTTTCCTAAGTGTGGGAAAGAAGGTATAGATTTCTTCTCCCATTCAAATCAGTCTGGCATGTGAGACAGTGTTACCTAATGGAAACAGCACAGACTTTGACCATCAGGTATATCCAGTTTCCAGTCCCAGTTCAACTCCACACTTACTGATCTGGTGCAAAATATTCAGCTTCTCTAAGCCTCTTTATCTCATGTGAGCGTAACAATACCTACCTTGCAGCAGAGAGAAAAAGATTAGAAATGCTATTTGTAAAGCATCTGACTGTGTGCTTGGCAGTTAGAAGGTGCAGAGTGAATGCTCTGAGGTGGTAGTGAGAGAAGCTCCACCTTACAGGAACTTCCTCATAGCATATCTCACTACTTGACATGTATTTATTGGTTTAATGTCTGTCACCCCACAAAAAGGTAAGGTTCTTGGAGAGCGGGTAATTTGTTTTGTTCATTGCTGAATCACAGCACCTCGAGTAGTGTCTGGTGCTAAATTTCTATTTGGCAAGTGAATGAATAGGTGAAAAAACAGGAGGAAGACTGGGGTCTTCAGACCTAATTAACCAGATGTCCAGTACTTAAGCATTATAAAGAATACAAAAGGAGATGAAGACTTGTCTCTGGCTGAGATGTGTCTGAGCTCTGTCTCCCCTTTGTTCCACTCTTAAAGCTCCAGGGCAGGATTTCTGAACTCCAGCAATATTGACATTTTGGGCTGGACAGGTCCTTGTTGTCTGTGTGGGTGGGTGTCCTGTGCATTGCAATATGTTTAGCTGCACTCCTGGCCTCCACCCACTAGATGTCAGGAGCACCCGCTAGTTGTGACAGATTGACTCCAGACACTGCCAAATGTACCTGGGCAGCAGCTGCCCCCGGTTGAGAACTCTTATAGTTCTCAGGGTCAAGGCATATATCATTAGGCCAGGCTGGTACAAGAGTCTCCCATCTGTCCCCTCTGGACTTCTTGACTTTCTAATAATGTAATCTAATTGCTCAAAAGCGTCAAGACTTCCAAATGCCACTAAAATAAGCCAAGATCTCCTAACTTGCAAGGCTCTCCCTGGCATTCAAGCCTCCTCTAGCCTCATTGTGCACTACCCTACACACATTCTACAATCCTGCATAGGTGAACTGGTCCTGGAACAGGCTCTGTGCTCTCCAGCCTTAATGCCTTTACAACTAATCTTTTCCAAAGGCCTGATTCATTCTTTCCATAGAAACCGAACACGAGGTGCTGCCAGTCTGCATTACTCCCAATCAAAGTAGAAAGGGCATCTGAGCCAGGGAATTAGAAATGGGGAAATGGGAAAAATTTTCCAGGAGTGCACCATCATAGACAAGAAATCCATAGGATGAGGACTGGTAACACCACCATCACTGCCTTCTTGAAACCTCCTGATAGTTTTGAATTCCTCAGCCCTGCCTGTAACTTTCTCTCAGGGCATCTTCTCTTAGTGAAACTGAGTCCCCCTACAACTGAGTTTCCTTAATGAGTTTATGATTAATCTCTCTATCCAAAACATTATTCTCTTTCTTGTCCCATCTGACTTCAGTCCTCTGCTAACTGACCACTTATCAGCCAGCGTCAGATGACTAAGATTGCTGTTCTCCATAACATTGTCAATGTAATACATTTGCTATTATACACATCATCATTAATGTACAAACTCAGGATGAGTTAACAGACCCCCAGGTCATGGACTACCTGGCCTGATCATTGTGAACCATAGCCTCATAACTGAGAACCAGTGACTGCCAAAACTATGATCAAGAAATGTCACATAATAGAATGGCCAGCATCAAAAAGTCTACAAATAATAAATGCTAGAGAGGGTATGGAGAAAAGGGAACTCTCCTACATTTTTGGTGGGATTGTAAATTAGTGCAGCCACTGTGGAGAACAGTATGGAGGTTCCTCAACAAATTAAAAGCAGAGAGTTATCATACCATCCAGCAACCCCACTCCTGGGCATATATCCAGAGAAAACTCTAATTTGAAAAGATATATGCACCCCAGTGTTCACAGCAGCATTATTTACAATAGCTAAGACATGGAAGCAACCTGAATGTCCAGCGATAGATGACTGGACAAAGAAGATGTGAGACACACACACACACACACACACACACACACACACACACACACACACGAATATTACTCAGCCATAAAAAAGAATGAAACAATGCCATCTGCAGCAACATGGATGGCCCTGGAGATTGTCATATTAAGTGAAGTCAGGCAGAGAAAGACAAATACCATATCACTTATATGTAGAATCTAAAAAAAAAAGATACAAATGAACTTATTTACAAAACAGAAACAGACTCACAGAAATAGAAAACAAACTCATGAATTAAAAAAAAAAACAAACTTATGGATACCAGAGGCAGGAGACAGGGTGAATAAATTAGGAGTTTGAGATTAACAGATACAGACTAGTATATGTAAAATAGATAAACAAGGACCTACTGTACAGCACAGAGAATTATATTCAATATCTTGTAATAATCTATAATGGAAAATAATCTGAAAAATCACTTTGCTATACACCTGAAACTAACACAACATTGTAAATCAATTATACATCAATTTAAAAAAAAAGATCACAAATCAATAACCTAACTTAGCACCTTAAGGAAGTAGAAAAGAGTAAATTAAACTCAAAGCTAGCAGAAGGAAAAAAAAACAAGTAACAATTAGACCAGAGATCAATGAAATAGCAGAAAAACAACAGAATCAATGAAATGAAAAGCTGGTTCTTTGAAAAGATCAGCAAAATCGACAAACATTTACAAAGACTGAAAGAAAAAACAGAGAAGACACAAATAACTAAAATCAGAAATGCAAGTGGGGACATTATTTCCAATCTTAGGGGAATTAATAAGAGAATACCATGAATAATTATAAACCAACAACAAATTAGATAACTTAGATGAGAAGACAAAGTCCTAGAAAAACACAGATTACCAAAAGTGATTCAAGAAGAAATAAGAAATTCAAATACACCTAGGTTATGGACTGAATTGTGTCCCCCTAAAATTAATGTGTTGAAGCCTTAGCAGACTAATGCAACCTGTAACAAGTAAATATAATTGAATAAGTAATACAATCTCCCAACGTGTTACCAAAGATGCGGAAAAACTGGAACCTTCGTATTTTGCCAGTGGGAATGTAAAATGGTTCAGCCACTGTGGAAAATCATTTGGCTTTGCCTGAAAACTTTAAACATTGAATACCATATCATCCCACAAGTCTATTCCTAGTTATATACCACCCCTCCCACCAAAGAACTGAAAACAGATGCTGTTACATATATAAGCATGCTCACAGCACCACTAGTCACATAGCTTAAAAATGGAAACATCTCAGATGTCTATCAACAGATGAACTGGTAGACAAATTGTGGTCTATACATACAATGGAATATTATTTGTTTATAAAAATGAGTGGACTATTGATAAATGCTACAACATTGATTAATCTTTAAAACATAATGGGAAGTGAAAGAAGCCAGACACAAAAGGTCACACAGTGTGTGATTTCATTTATGTAAATATCCAGCCTAAATAAATCCATAGAGACAAAAAGCACACTGATTTTTGCCAGGCTCTGGGGATACGGTATCACAAGAAACTGCTTAATGGACAAATTTTACTTTGGAGTGATGAAATTGGAATTATACAGAGGTTGTAGTTGTACAACACTGTAAATGTATTAAATGACTCTGAATTATCCACTTTAAATAAGTGTTACTTTATGTAAAATTTCACCTCAATAAACTACTTTCTAAAGGGCAAAAAGAAGTCACATAAATGTCAAAAGATCATGATTAATTCAAGCCTCCTTGTTCTTAGAAAAAATAAATAAATAACCCTACCTTAAAGACCAAGATGGAATGAATCTGAGGCTTGTCTTTTACTCCTTCGTTTGGCGCCCAGCAAATAAACCCCTTTCTTTGCAGCAAACACTCGCTATCTGACCGGCTTTTTGCGACCCGGGCACACGGCCTTTGCTCAGTTACACTACTCCATCTAATACCAGAATTTACTTCCCCGGGTCTATCTACTCCACTAGTTTCGGAGCTCTCTGAGAGTAAGGAGTTGTCTTCGAGTCCCCACTGCCCAACACAAGGGCCCACAAGGACGCGGAAGGGCCATAGTGAAAGAGTGTTTTGTTAGCAAAAACCGTAAGGGCAAGAGGTTTGGAGCCCGTAAAAGCCGTCTTCACTAGGAAAGTGAGCGGACTGGAGCCCTGAAGGGCAACGGGGCCGAAACACCAGGCTACCTCGGCCCCACGCCTCCCAAGAGGGTGGAGGTCCCGGCTCAAGGCCGCTGCGAGTCTTTCCGTCCCAGGACTTAGAACACAAGGCGAGAGCTTCAGGAGAAAGGCCAAAGCCGCTGCGCTCGAACCGGCCCCGCGGGGCAAAGGCTATCTTAGACACTCGACTCACCCGCCCAACCGTCATTTCCAGCGCGCCAGGCCGGAAGCTGCCGCGGGGCAAGCCGGGACCTTGGCCTGACGCATGCGCAAGGACCACGCCAGTAAAGAGCGCCGCGGGACACGCAGGCGTGCCCTGAAGAACAATGATCCCCACCTGGTTCCGCCCTCCGCCAATGGACAGTAGTCTGCCCCAATGAAGAGGCAAGATCCTCCTTGCGTCATAATCTGGGACCAGGAATGCTGTTCGACAATTGGGGGCCCTGGATCGGGGCGTTTGTTAATCTCTCCGATTGATTACAGCTATTATGTTTGACACGCGCTTCCGCTTCTGTTACTTGGTTGCGGGGAGGGGTTGGTTCATATACCCACCCTGCCAGGGCTCTTACTCTTTTTACAGATGTGACAACAGTAATGACGAGAGCGTAATACTTGCTCGTGCCTGATATAGTTTAATCACGGACGTACTAACTTATCCTCACACCAATCTTATGAAGTAATATTACTACTATTTTTGTTCTCCAGACGAGGAAACTAAGACAGGGTTTAAGCGACTGGCAAATCACAGAAGTGGGGCTAGAACTTGATTCTAATTCCATGCTTTCCCCCCACCTGTTTTAGTTTTTCATATTCCATAAGTACAGCAAAACATTCTTAGCTTAAAAACAAATCCTTTCATCTCTTATCTCCCAAACTTATGTTCCCTCTCCAGAGGAAATAACTTTTATTAGTGTGTATAACTTTCTGGACCTTAATCTGTAATTTTGCCTATTTACTATATCTTCAAGTGTTTCTGCTTCAATATATCGACTTCATCTTTATATTTTTCAGCTCTTGCATTTGGCATTTACTATTATATATTCAATCTTCAATCATTTCTCTTCTGATGGACATTCAGATACTTCCCTAATTTTCACGTGTGTGCACGTGTGTGTGTGTGTGCACGTGTGTGTGTTTGCACGTGATTCCAGATTGGAGTATTTGAGATATATTCTGAAGAGGGAACTGCTGGATTGGGACGTAGAGTGTGAGGGAAAGAATAGTGAAGGCTTCTCTCTGCCTTTATTCTGGCCCTGCTTTATTCATCCATCATTTATGTACAATCTGGTTGCACAATGAAGAAGTAGTACTCCTTCAGGATATAAATGGAGGGAGTTGGGATATGAAATAGATTGATAAACCTCCTTATGGAAAGTGTTCCATCTTGGATTAAGTATAAACTAAGTAGTTTTCTCTAAGCAATGGCACATGTTTTATCTATTTTAATCTCTACAGTGCTCCTGCCAGCTATTATATTCATTTTACAGATGATGAAACAAAGTACTAGATATATCTGCTGGCTGCCATGGCTAGTTATTTGTGGAGTACACCAAGGGGCTCAAGTCTCCTGGCTCCTAGTGTCATGAACTTTCTAAGGTACCTTGCTGCATTTGTATTCAGAGCGTAGGGTAACTAGATGGCTCTATTGACAGGAGAGAGAGAGAGAGAGAGGGAGAGAGAGAGAGGTGAAGCAGAGTCTGACTGTGGGAAGAAGCAAGGGAAGAACCCTGCTTGTCAGTAGTCCTAGTCACATGTCTCTCAACCACCAAGAAATTTCTCTAGTGCATCCTTAAGGTCCTGGTTCCTCAGGCTGTAGGTAAGAGTGTGAAGCATGGTGTTAAACTATGATAAGAACAGAAGGATAAGGAACTTGGTCTGATCAAGGAAGTAACTATTATTACACTAGATTTAGTCATAGATGACTGCCTGAAAGAGAAGTCTACTGCCACCACATGGGACCTGCAGGTTCCAAAGTGTATGTTCCTCTCTGTCCTTGGCTGAGCAGATCCTTGGACGGCTTTGAAAAAGTAGCCATAGGTGACAAAAATCAAGCCCACGGAAACCAGTAGGAAGATGATTGTAGTTAAAAAAGACACTGAACTTTTTGAAACATTTATCTCTACATGTAAGCTTTATCAAGGTGGGCATCTCAAAGAGGAGAGGTCCAACTTATGTGCTGCTCACAGAGGGGCAGCAGCAGGGTGGCAGGCATTTGCACTAGGGACTTGTCAAAAAATTCTGTAAAGCTAGGGATGCCAACTGCAGGCACAGGCACTACTGCTTGACCACTGCATAGTGGAGGGCTGACAAATGGCCAAGTGGGTCAAGGTGATCACTGCTAAGAGAATGCTCTCAGTGGATTTGAGGGCCAGAACAAAAAAAGAAAGAAAATAAAAATTAACTGTAATCCTATCACATATTTGTGTATGTCTCCAAGTTTCCTTGTTTTCTGAGATCACATTTGCTTTTATTATGCAAATAGGGACATGAGACTTCTTGTATGGCTGCAGGAAGCTTTTTGTGTTTTGCACTTTTCTGCACTGTTCTTTTTTGACTGGACTTTACATTTGTGACATACATCAAGGTTGATTCATATTGCTGTCATTTTATTCATTTTTATTGCTGTATAGTATTTCATTGTATGACTACCATCAATTCATTCATCTGTTCTCCTGTTACTGGCCATTTGGGTTGTTTCTGTTTGCTTATTATAAACAATGTTTCTGTGAAGATTTTTCTACCTATTAACAGTATAGTTGTGAGAGTTTCTCTAGGGTATGTCATAGAACAAATCAGTCATAGGTATGCACATCTTCAGTTTTACTAATTAATTCCAAAGTGGCTGTACCAGTTCTCACCTACCCTCCAGCAGAATATGAGCTCCTGTTGCTCCATATTATTGTCAAAACTTGGTATTGTCAGACTTTAAATTTTCTGCCAATCGGGGGAAGAAAAAGAGATTTAATTGTGGCTTTAATTTGAATTTCCCTGATTCCTACTGAAATTGGAATCAGTGTTAATACACAGGTATATATTAACACATTATTATTAGACATTTAAATTTCTACATAAATATATATAAATAAAAGAAGGTAATTTGCAGAACAGGAATTAATTTTCTCAAAGTTATGGAGCCTGGAAAGTCCAAGGTCAACATTCTGGCAGGATTCAGTCTCTAGTGAGGACTTGTTCCTGGACGGCAAAAGGCTGCCTTGTCTATACATGGCATTTCTTCTGAGTGAGTGTGTATGGCAAGAGAAAGATCTCCCTCTCTTCATCTTCTTATAAGGTCAACAATCCCATCAGCATGGGGCCCCACCCTTATGATACCACTTAACCCTAATTACCTACTAAAGGCCCTAGGTCCAAATACAATTACATTTGGGGTTAGGGCTTCAATGTATGAAATTGTGGGTGAGGACACAGTTCAGTGCATAGTACTATCTGATAGCATACAATGAGAAGCATGCAACATCACATCTGTGGAATTCCTACCAAAGATGCTTAACTAGAATTTGATTATGAAGAAACATGAAACCCAAATTGAGAGATGGTCTACAAAACTATGGGCTAATAACATTTCAAAGTGTTGGGGCCACGAAAGTCAAGAAAAGACTGAGAAACCACTTCATACTGACAGAGATTAAAGGGACAAGACAACTACATGCAATCTGTGATTCTAAACAGAATCTTTTTGCTATGAAAGACATTATTAGGACAATTGGCAAAAGTTGAGTGGGTTCTAAGGATTAGATAATATAATATATTAATGTTCATTTAGCAATTTTGATGGCTATGTGGTGTTCCCATAGAAAAATGTCCTTGTATCTCTGAGATACACCTTAAGATATTTGGGAAAGACAGAGTAAGTATCAAGTTGTCAACCTACTCTCAAAATATTCAGGAGGAAAAAGTCCTTTGTATTGTGATTCCAACTTTTTGGTTTATTGATGATTATTCAAAAAAGATAAACATATATTTTGAAAAGCACAAGCTTCAGAGTCAAAAATAATTGGTTTTATACTGAGCCCAACGACTGTGCTGTGAGCAAGTTTCCTCTTGTGCTCCAGTGTCCACATCTTAAAATGAGGATGGTATATGTTGCTATGAGGATTAAGTGAGTTGATTCATGTAAAGAGTTTAGATCATCATCTAGCACTGCGTAAGTACTCAGTAAAGCTGATGTAGTCAAATCACCAATAAATAAACTCGACATTTTCACCCAATCAGTAAGGGAGATTCCAAATTAGTCTGTAATTTAGGACCCACATACTAGAGCATGAGGTCATTCAGCCAAAGTCCCTTTTAATTCCTATTTCCCACCATCTCCTTTATTCCAGCATCTCCTAACCACAGCCATGGAATTGAGACTGAAGGCTGTAAAGACAGAAAAGGGATTGACTCCCTTCACTGGCAGGTTCAAAATTCAGTCATTTGATTCAGGTATTCATGCACAATTTGCTACTTCACAAAGCAGTAGAGGATTTAGACAGACTCTATGAGATGGGCTCTTAAACTCATTTAAATCCACTGACTAGACTAGCATTTTCAAATGCTGTCCATCGCTGTTTTACTAAGCTTGTTGAACCTTCTACAATTCTTAGTATTTCTTTTGTTTTCCATTTTTTAAATTTTACTGCAAGTGGAGGTGCTTTCTATATGAGTACAGAATTCTCTAGAAATACATTAGTATACATGTAATATTTATTACACATAATAAATATGTAATAAATAACAGGTGGATAGCAGAGACAGTGAGCTAAGTCAGTACTAAGTCAACAACCGCTGAGCCATTGATGGTACATATCTGAATCGGCCCTGTTATTTGTGGTCCACAGTAGGATTTTTGGTAAAGTGTAGAACATTAGAAATAACACTAACAATATAACATGAAATCAACTACACTTCAATTAAAAAAAGAGAAAGAATACTAACCATATACCAACAG